CACCACCACCACAAAAACGAACACAAGAAAAATACCCAACAAAACCAAAACCCAAAAACAAAAAAAAAGACTCAAAAGGAGTTAAGGGACCGGATTAACCCAACCAGACGAGGTGAGGGTAGAGATAATTGTACCGCTCCTGTTTGGAAATACTTCGAGATCGAATGGATAAAGGAGACGATGGAATTGAAAGAAAGTGGGCCGAATGCAATTATTGTTTACATTTACTAGCCGCAGATCCAAACCGGAATGGTACAACTTCAATAAACAAGCATTTTAATGGGTGCAAGTTAAATCCAGACAACATACCGAAACAAGTTGATGACAAACAACAAAAGTTGTCATTTACGAAAGCTCCTAATGGTGAGGGTCATGTATACACATGGAAACATGATGATACTAGGATCCAACTTGCCTTGCTAGGGCTTTTCACCATTGGGGAACTACCATTTAAATTCATTGAAAACGAGGCATTCATAGAATTTGTAAACGCCCTTAATGGTAGGGTGAAATTGCCTTCAAGGCATAAAATTTCTCGTGATGTTGTGTCATTCTATTTAATGGAGAGGCAGAAGTTGTACAAACATTTGAGCAACCCCAAAACAGCCATCCACTTGACAACCGACACGTGGACATCCTCGTGTCAAAAGATAAATTATATGGTTGTCACGGCCCACTTCATTACCGAAGATTTTGTCATGCACAAAAGGGTAGTCAACTTTAGAGAGGTTGATACTCACAAAGCTGAAGACATGGCCCGAGAGTTGCTAATTTGCATAAACGAGTGGGGGATGAAGAATGTCATGACGATGACCGTTGATAATGCCAAGACAAATGACGCGGCAATCAACATCATTGTGAAAGAACTACCGGGTATTTACGAGAATGGCAAACATTTTCACATTAGGTGTATGGCTCATATCATAAACCTAGTTGTGAAAATGGGGTTAAAACACGAAGTTTATCATGTAAAAAACCTACAAGATGCGGTGAAATACATTAGAGCCTCCCCGCAACGGATCAAGACGTTTAAACAAGCCATGAAGGATGCGGCTGTAGAAAGTCAAAGGTTTTTGTGTGGTGAAACTCCAACAAGGTGGAACTCTACCTTTGAATTGCTAAGATCAGCGTACGATGTGAAAGACGCATTTCTCGAATATAGCCATCAAGGTAAATAAAATCAATTAATCAAATATATTTCAGCACTAAAATTAGCAATATTTATTTCTTTAGCAATCAGTCCAAATATTAAATTGTGCATAACTCATTCAATTTAACTTGTTTTGACCTGAATCTTTTTCCTACATGTAGATTAGGATTTGTAGTTGAATTTAGACTATAAAAACGCTTGATTTGGTTAAAAATTGAATGAGTTACAAGCCCCGTAAGGAAGGGTGTCAAATCTGAATTTTTTTTTTCTAACAGCAATATAACGTCATGTGATTTTGTTGTTCAAATATGCATAATTCATTCAATTTAAATTGTTTTGACCTGAATCTTTTTCCTACATGTAGATTAGGATTAGTAGTTGAATTTAGACTATAAAAACGCTTGATTTGGTTAAAAATTGAATGAATTACAAGCCCTGCAAGGAAGGGTGTCAAATCTGTTTTTTTTTCTAACAACAATAAAACGTAATTTGATTGTGTTGTTCTTTTTTTGTAGATCCAATGTTTCAGAAAACTGTGGGAAGGGTACCATCACATTCATATTTTGAGATGATTAAAAAGATGATGGAGTTCCTTGAGAAGTTTAAGAAGAAAACTGAAAAAGTTTCGTGTTCAACAAAGCCTATCTTCCATACGTATACCCGGGAGATCCTAGATATAGAGCAACATCTTAGGAAACATGAAACCAACCCGGATTTTATGTTTATGGTACCGGATATGAAACATAAATATGACAAATATTGGGGTGACTATGATACTATAAGTGATTATGTCTTCTTTGCGACATTGTTAGATCCTCAATGCAAGTCAAAGTTTATGAAAGTTGTTTTTACCCAAATGCTTAAAGCCAAAAACAAAGATAAAAAGATGTCCGCTGATGAGATAGAATCCAAAGAACGTGCAAAGGTTATTGATATTGAATGCAAATTGGACAAGTTTTTCAAGACATACTTGGAAAGGTCAAACATGACCTCATCGTCTCAACAAGAAACTCCCGAAGAAGTTGTTAATTTTGATGACGAAAACGAATTCTTTGGAAGCTATATGACTTCGGGAAGTTTCCCCTCGACTTCCTCAGAAAGTCAATTGCAACGATACTTAAACGAGGACCCAATCGGATTTGACAAAGGATATGATATCCTCACATGGTGGAAAAATAATGCAGTGCGGTTCCCGATCGTTGCTCGAATGGCAAGAGGTATCGACCTTCTTTTACTCTAATTTAAATTTTTAATTTATAAATTTGTGTCGTGTATTATACACTAATTTGTTTATTAATAGATATTTTGGGGATGCAAATTTCCACCGTAGCATCCGAATCCACATTCAGTAATGGTCGTCGAGTAATTACCGACTACCGTACTAATTTGTCCGTTGTGATTGTGGAGGCATTGATATGCACTCAAGATTGGCTAAGAAAGAGTAGCTTGCCTATATATGACTACGACGAAGTGCACGATGTGTTAGCTGACGATGACCTCGCTATCGGTAATACACTAATACTTGTTACATCTTATTTTTAACTTCTTATTAGTATTTGTTACATTTTAGTAAGTAATAACATTTTTCTTTTGAATTATATATAGACATTGTGGATGCTATACACAACTTGAAGCTAACGGGGAAGAGATCGGGGAATTAGTCAAAATATCAAAGAAATGTTGGAATCCACATATTAGACTTTTTTTTTGTTGGTGAAACTTGGAAGTATATTTTGAATGTCGAAAGTGTATTTTGAATGTTGAATGTTTGAATGTTGGATACTTAATAGGGATGAGCAAAAGGACCGAACCGGACCGGAACCGGGAACCGGCTTCGACCAAAATCAAGAACCGAACTGGCCTGGCGGTTCTATCGGTTCCGGTTCTACCGGTTCCCGGTTCCTACCGGTTCTTGTCGTGTCTTCAAATGTTCGAACCGGTCCTTGAAAAATAGTATTATACGGTTCCGGTTTTTGCCGGTTCTACCGGTTCCGGTTATATCGGTTCCTGTTCCTACCGGTTCCCGGTTCCAAAAATCCACAAAAATAACGTCCCGGTCCCGGCCCGACCCGACCGGTTCCATCGGGTGCCGGTTCCGGTTCCGGTACCGGTTCCGACCGGTTCCCCGGTCCATTTGCTCATCCCTAATACTTAATAATATAAGTTTGATGACATCCATGTTTAATTTGCTTCAATGTTCAATTGTTTATTAAAATGTTTATTATTAAAATGTTGATTATTTACTAGTATTTAAACATCCACTTCTTCATAAAAAACCAATAAAACGCAAAGTAAATTAGTCGTTGGAATTACTCGAAAAACTGGCAAAAATCGGACCCGAAAAACCAATAAAACGCAAAGTAATTTAGTCGTTGGGTACATCAAAATTTAGCCGGTTCCATACTCGAAAAACCGGCAAAAACCGGACCCGGAACCGGTATAACCGGAACCGGTGGAACCGCCGGGCCGGTTCGGTTCTTCATTTTTGCCGAAGCCGGTTCCCCGGTTCGGGCCGGTTCCGGCCGGTTCGGTTCTTTTGCTCAACCCTACATCTACCTTCTCACGGAACTCGCTCCGCAGAGTGTTAATAAGTCCAAGGACTTCTTCCTTGATGACACCGATGGTCTCCTTCAATCCATCGCTCGTGTCACTTATCTTGGCAACGAACTGATCGACGGTATCCTTCCATTCAAGGATCTCACTGACGTTAATCTCTGTCCTTGTAAGCTTGTTCTCTAGGCTTGCCAAGGCATCTATCGATTGGTCCCTCTTCCTGGACTTTCTTCCTTTCTCCTCGACGACAGGGGGCACGCTTGCGACTTCACTAATTCCTGCTTCCGTAGTCATGATCTCTTTCTTGTACAAACTCCGGCTCTGATACCACGTGTCACGGGATGCTTCAATCACCGTGTGCCACTTAGTATTTTCTCCGACTAAGTCAGGCTAACTTCGATGATCTAGATGTACTAACGAACTTAGGAAGTAAGAGTTACGACAAGGGACACTTCAATAAAGCTTCTATTATATAACTTAACTTCTTTACAAGGCAACTTCTTGATGGTTTTAACAAATGAGTCCTCCCCGCTATTTATAGGAACCTTACACCTCCTCAAATGGAAGTTTCTAGGTCCCGATCATTCATGACGAATCTAGACTCTTCCTATTATATACATGGATTTTACAAGACTCTAGAATATTGTAAACTTGTATACGATGCTCTAGAAATATCTAAGTCTTCCCGACATTATCCAAATTGTTCTTGTATGATCTAGCGTGTTCTAGATCCTTCCAAAGTCTTCTAGGTCGTTCTAATTTCTTCTAGTGCCTTCATCATTTATTCCGGATCGTTCTCCTTAATTCCATGGACATCTATAATATTCTAGCACCTTCCAGGGTCTCGTAGAGCATTCTTGATTTCTCCGGAGATTTCTCGAGTATACTTGATCGTTCCAGAGTTCTCTAGACGATTGTAGAATTTTCCAAAAACTTGGTCCGTGACACTAGGCTCGGTATACCTTTCTCGGCTGCTCACGGACTATCTTTCTTAAGCCCACCGCTAGCTGCTGCCAACCGCTCCGTTAAAGGTTTCTCTTTCTCAGCTGCACCCGATCTCTTTGTCTGCTGCTCTCGGTATCTCTTTAGGTACAAATATGCAACTCTTCGTGTTCAAAATTCTTCATAATAAATAACAATTATTATCTGTTAGTAGTAAGGCGGTTTTTGTTAGATTTTCTTAATTGGGATATGCTAATTGCTGATTATTAATTCATTTAATTGTTAGTAGTTAATATTTTATTAAGGTCTTTATCAGCAACGATTTGATCAAATAGGCTCTGTTAAGCATACTTGGATGGCGTCTTCTTCATCATCATCCACTCAGAAGAGCTACATGTATGATGTCTTCTTGAGCTTTAAAGGTGAAGACACCCATAAGAATTTTGTTGATCATCTTTATGAGGCTTTTGAGCGGCAAGGAATTCACATTTTCAAGGATGATGAAAGGCTCGAGAAAGGAAAAAGGATCAACGATGAGCTCTTGAAATCCATTGAAGAGTCAAAATTCTACATCGTTGTATTCTCCAAGAACTATGCATCGTCGTCTTGGTGTTTGGATGAGCTTGTTAAGATTATGGAATGCCAGAAGGCAACAGAGCAGATTGCTTACCCTGTGTTCTACAATGTGGATCCCTCTGAAATTCGCAAACAACTTGGCCCAGTTGGAGAAGCTTTTGCCAGACATAAAAACAGCGGAGAGGCGGCGAAGTGGAGAGAGGCTCTGGAAGAAGCAGCAAATCTTGCTGGGTGGAATTTGAGGAACACTTCTGATGGGTAATTCTTTAATCAGCTTTTTTTTTTTTGGTTTGGTTTGTTTTGTCCATGTGCAAAAGGGTCATCTATCGCATCTCTTCTTGCATTGAAAAATTCAAAGTCAAATTTGACACTAGTCAAAGATGAAGAATATGCATATGTTTGTATGTTATAGCCCTTAACAAATTGTTCATATGGGATATTAGGAAAGCTAATTGATTATCCTTTATGTTATAATTCTGCAGGCATGAAGCTAAAGTCATCAATAAAATTGTTGAAAAGATTTCTCTCGAATTACGTTTCATTAATTTTGAAGTCGATGAAAAATTAGTAGGCATGGAGATCCGGGTGAAGCATATTCTTTCATCTTTGGAAATGGGTGTTGAAGATGTCCGCATGATAGGCATCAAGGGAATGGGAGGCGGTGGAAAGACAACTTTGGCCAGAACTGTTTTCAACAAAATATGTTTTTCCTTTGAAGTTAAAAGCTTTCTTGAAAACGTCAGGGAAGTTTCAAAAGCATCAATGTCCGGATTGCCATCGTTGCAAAAACAAGTACTTTCCAATGTCTTAAATGACAGAAGTCTCAACATAGGAAGTATTCATGAAGGGAAAAGCATAATGAGAAATACGTTGTGTCGAAAAAAGGTTCTTCTTGTTCTTGATTACGTGAATCATTTAGACCAACTAGACGCATTAGCTGGTGGGCTTAATTGGTTTAAACCGGGAAGTAGAATTATTATTACAACAAGAGAAGAGCAAGTGCTCGTAGCTGGCCGAGTGAAGTCTATTCATGATATCAGTTTGTTATCACAAGAGGAAGCAATGTGCCTCTTCAGTAGGTACGCATTTGGTAGAGATATTCCAATCCAAACATACAAAGAGCTATCACTCAAAGTTGTCCATTATGCTAATGGTCTTCCCTTAACAATCAAAGTTTTGGGTTCATCTCTTTGTGGGCAAAATGTGCCCGTTTGGGAAGATGCACTAAAAAGACTAACAAAAATTCCATTGAAAGAAACCATGGAAAAATTGGAGTTAAGCTATACATGCTTGGAGGAAGATTACAAGGAGATGTTCTTGAATATTGCATGCTTTCTAAAAGGATGGCGGAAAGAACGTGCAATTCGAGCACTTGAAAGCTGTGGATTTCATGCTGTGAATGGATTAAGAGTTCTTGAGCAAAAATCTCTTATAAGTATTTCTCTTGATCAGAAGTTAGGCATGCATGATCATCTAGAGGAAATGGGCCGGAACATTGTTCGTTGTTGTGACCCTGATGAGCCTATCACACATAGCCGACTGTGGATTCGGGGCGAGATTGAAGAGGTATTGGGTAGTGAATTGGTAAGGATGATGTTTTATGTTTATTTATAAGGTGGAGAAAACTAACATGCATGGTTTCATTACTTTTGACTTTTGACCGATGTTTCATGGCCACTTTTCTTGAATTACAGGTGACCGAAGCCACCAGAGCTATAGCAACGAACACATTTGCATGGGAAGGTGAGGAGAAACACCGCTCTACAATTCTTACAAAAGGTTTTGGAAACATAAAGAAACTTAGATTTCTTCACTTGCTTTCTGACTTCCAAGATGATTACGAATTTGGCCAAACTTTCCCAAATACGTTACGACTTCTAAGTTGGGTACGTTACCCTCATTGGTGTTTGCCTAAAACATTTCAAGAAAATAATCTGGTTGCACTTGAAATGCCTTTTAGCAGAATTAAAACACTATGGGAAGAAGGAGAAAGAAAGGTACAATGGTTGATTAGTTCTTTTGCATGATTAGTCTTACTGCCATACATCTATTGATTTGGTATTTACTGAAATTTCCTATTTTTCCTTTCTTGCTTATGATAGGTTCTTAAAAACCTCAGGTTCCTTGACTTGAGTTATTCACGTTTGATGACCCTTGATTTTGGCTTACTTCCGAATCTTGAGACATTAAATCTCGATGGATGCTATAATTTGGTAGAACTTCACCTGCCCACTGGATGCCTTAGAAGGCTTGTAAACTTAAAGTTAAATTATTGCAGGGAATTAAAATTTTCATTTATCAAACAACTGGAATCACTTCAGGTTCTTGGTCTAAGTTATTTATATCTGAATGAGTTCCTAGATATACTTCCGCAAGATGTCAACTATAGTTTTCTGGAGCTTAGCCTTTCAAGGAACAATTTCCAAGAACTACCCTCATCAATTGGAAATCTTCAAAATCTTGCTTCTTTAGATCTTAATGAGTGCAAAAGGCTCAAGAGTCTGCCACAAAGCATATGTAGTTTACGACATCTAAAACATCTTTACCTTCATAATTGTGCGATAGAGGAATTGCCCGAGTATCTTGGCGGTTTACAAAGTTTAGAATCGCTTGATTTAGGGGGTACACGTGTCAAACATCTCCCAAACAGCATTTGTATGTTAAAACATCTGAAAACTCTACGTCTTTTATATTGTAAAGCTCTTACTAAGTTACCTCAGGATCTTGGCCTATTAGAATCATTGGAGGAACTACGTCTACCATTTTCCCATATAAGAGACCTTCCGACTAGCATCTATGAGTTGAAACATCTCAGGGAGCTTGATGTTTCCTACTGTTTTCAACTTAAGAAATTGCCCGAGAAACTAGGAGACTTGGCACATCTCAAAATCTCAACCTTTCCAATCGTGTTCAACTTAAGAATGCCCAAGAGTCTTTGAGACTTGAAATGTTTAAAAGCGTAACATTTAATGGGTACATGTATAAATAATCTTCCAGAGCATATCTTTATTGGAAGGTCTGGAAATCCTTTGATTTAGAACAAAAGTTTCATCCATATATACATCTGTCTCGAGAACAAACAACAAACTCAGACACCCAAAATGAGTTTGATCTACATTGCGCCACGGACCAAACATGATTTTCAGTAACATAAAGTATCGCAGTAGCCTGTTTATCACGAACCGTTATAAAGGTGCTCTTCATGTTCTTCGATATTTATATTTGTATTTGAACTTTAAAATGGATGTGATTTTGGTTTGTTTTTATGTATTATCAATAATTATACAAGAAAAATTAAAAAGGGGATATAACTTATAAGTCCAACGAAGTTTCCAAACCGTTCAAAAATCTCAATTATGTTTTTTATGTTCAAAAAAAACACAACGAACTTAACATTTTGTCTAGAAAAGCCGAACTAACTTACACTTCTATTCAAATCTCATTACGGTCAACCAACTAATGAAAATCCACGAATGACAGCTTATGACGTGGAATTAAATATCGAGAAAATGACTTCTAAGACAGACGAAGTTTCGAAACAGTTTTAAAAACCCCAATCATGTTTTGTCTATTTAAAAAATTCCAACGAATTTAACATTTTGTCTAAAAAACCCAACGAGATTCGTTGGGTATACAATTAGTTGGTAAATTACATGACATTATATTTAATAACAAGGAATAAACATATTAAAATTGCCCTTTATATTGATTTAGGGCTTGGAGAAAAGGAAAACGAACGGCGTTTGTGTTCGATCTCTTGTAATGGCTACTTATTCTTCCTCTCAATTGTTGATGTCAAACTCAAGATCTATAAAGAAGATATTTGATCATGCAAGCTCTTGTGGATGTGTACACCCTTCTTGGATTTGGACATCTAGAACGGAGGATCATACAGAGAATAAGTTTGGGGCTTGTTTGAACAGATGGGTAAGTGTAACTGACAGCTTTATCATGTCCGTCTTCTATCTATTTGTTTGGTTCCTTCAAAAACAAGAACTTATTAAGATAATCAACCAAATAGATAGAAAATTGACATGATAAAGCTTTCAATTACACTTACCAATCTGTTTGAACAAGCTTTGAACTTTTTCTCTGGATGATCCTCCGTTCTAGATGTCCAAATACGAGATGGGGGTCCACATCTACAAAGATTTGCATCATCAGATAACTTGAACTTGAGTTGGACATCAATGATTGTGAGTAAGAAGAAGAAGTAGCCATTACAAGAGATCAAACACAGACATCGTTCATTTTTTTTTATTCTCCAAACCCTAAATCGATATATAAATGGCAACTCTAATCTGTTTATTCCATGTCATTAAATATAATTCCATGTCATTTGCCAACTAATTGTATACCTAATGAATTTGGTTGCCTCTAATGAGAATTGAACAAAAGTGTAAGTTCGTTGGATTTTTTTAGACAGGTTATGTTCGTTGGGTTTTTTTTAACAGACAAAACATGATTCGGGTTTTTTGAATGGTTTCAGAACTTCATTGGTCTTACAAGTCGTTTCTATATATATATATATATATATATATATATATATATATATATATATATATATATATATATATATATATATATATATATATATATAATTACACGTCATAAGCCATGTGTAACACCCATAAAAATCATGTCATATTTAAACTTTTTCAAAACATGTAAGACCATTTAACATTATATAGTTTGTTTTCAAAATAAAAAATATCAGAGTATCTCGGTATTAATCATAAAAAAAAATTAAAAAAAAAAAAAAAAAAAAAAAAAAAAAAAAATTAAAAAAAAAAAAAGCAGCAGGAGGAGCAGTGCGATCATGCCTTCGCCTTCCCTCGATCTCCAGAAGTTCCTGAAACAAGAAACTGAAACTGTAAGCCCGAAAGCCTGGTGAGTTCACCCGAAATACTCATACCCACAATAATACACATATAATCATGAACAACATACTATGGGTTCAGTCAACCATCAGGTTGGAATACCCTAGGCCCTCGACTATTGGGATGGAATGCCAACATACTATGAGTCTAATCATCCTCATGATGGAATACCCCAGGCCCACAACCAACAAGTTGGAATGCCCACATACTATGAGTCCAATCATCCTCGGGATGGAATACTCACGGCCCACAACCAACAGGTTGAAATGCCCAGATCTATTGGCTTTCACACAAAACAGATAAGCCTCAACCACCAAACGCACATGTGCACATATAACTAGATAATCACATGACATTCGATAGACAACAACTGATCTAACGGATCATACCACATAGCACATAATACCATCCTATCTACCAGGATACCGATCTAACACGTCGTACCACATACCACATAATATTATCCTACCCTCTAGGATACCGATCTAACAGATCATACTAGCATATCATATAGTACCATCCTGTAACCAGGACATCGACCTAACCAAGTCACTAAGCAGAAAGATAACCCATCCTATCTACCAGAATGCAACCAAATAACATATCATGCCATAACTATATACAATCCATAAAGGGCCGGCCTTGGAGCCTTAGACCCTATTGGTATAGTGAGGATAACGCACCTCGCAACTGTCGACACGAAGTATAAGCTCAAATTCTCATATCGCCAACACAAACTCCACAACCTATAATCACCACAGAACCATGTTGTTACTTTCCAATCTCCCATAATTTCGCCAGATGTCAACTGGTCAACCCTTGGTCAAAGTCAAGGTCAACAGTCCATGTTGACCTCAACTCGTCGAGTACCCTCAGCTACTCGCCAAGTTCCCAGCATAACTCGTCGAGTCACTAGAGTGACTCGTCGAGTTCCTAAGGTTTTTGTCCATAAACTTCTTGGCCGACTCGTCGAGTTTCCCTTGCAACTCGCCAAGTTCATATATGTTCAAAGGTTGGGAAAACCCTATTCGACTCTCCAAGTCACTCATCTAACTCGCCAAGCCCACGGAAATCGCCATCGGACTCACCAAGGTGACCATGCAACTCGTCGAGTCCCTTCAGTCCTTCATCCATACAAATGCTTTTTTAAGCCATGAAAAGGCTCCATATTGCAGATCCAAAAACCCAAGGCATGGTTATCACGTAACGTTACAAACTTTACGTGCATTCATGGCTCTAGAAACTCTAAATGACAAAACCAAGCTTGCAATGGAGTTTTACACCTTAGGGGAGTCTCGTTCATGAAAAAGTTGGAAGCTTTATGGACTTAAAGACCCAAGGGAGTTCAGATATGAAGTTGCAACTTCAGATCTTACCTCAAACACAAGAAAGGCTTCCTAACATGCTAGAAAAGCCCTAAAATCCACCCAAAGGAGGTCTAGAATGGAATGAGGTCAAGATAACAGCTTAATACCTTCAAAATGGTGCCCACTAAAGTAGATCTCTTATTCCCCCGAGTTCCTTGCTTCTAATCACTTGTTTCCCCAAGCTTTCACACCAAAATCCTTCTTCAAAGCTTTAAACACACCAATGTAGCATACACACACAAATTAGGGTTTTGGAATATCAAGGGGGCTATGAAGGGGAGGCTGGGGAGGCCAATGATCCTTTAAATAGGGTGCAAAACCCCATAAATTAGGGTTCCATCCTCCAGCTCCAACTGTTTGTTTTTTTAACAACTGCAGGCAACTAAAAAACACTAAAATCTAAATAAACTTATTTTTTTAAACTTCAAAATGATTTTTTAATATTTTTATAACTTTATTATAAGTAATTAACAAATCTAGATCAACTCTTATGTATTATTGTATAAAAAGTAAAAATAAAAATGATATGAATTAACGTATATATTCGATAAAAACCAACAATTTTGGTCACAAAGTTATACATAAACATTGTAATTAAGAATAATTTTATACATAAATGGATGTAAATAAACTTTGATTTTTTTTCAATTACATCAATTAAAAAGGAATCATAATTATTTTCCCAAGAAATTGATGATATTGCATTAAATAATGTTTTATAAAATTTGACATAAAAAATATAATATATTATGATTTTTTTCATATTTATATAAATAACTTCAACAATCATTATTGTAAGAAATCTTTATTGATAAATTTGTCAAAAAATATCATGTTTGTGTTGTCGAACTTTTTTTTTAAAGATTGCAACTTTTTTTCAAATTGTTCATCATTGGTAAAGCTTGCATAAATTTAAATTTAAAAAATAATAATAATAATAAATAAAGATATATGTGTTTTTACGTTAGAAGATGTCTGAAAATGTTAGAAGATTCTGATCCACATCTGTGCCAAGAAAAGGGCACGTAGACATTTTTAGGTCTGCAGTCCTTAAAAAAACAAACAGTCTGTGATGGCTAATGTTTGCGTTTGTTCTGCGCGGCGCAGATAGAAAAGATCAAGATCTGCAGATGAAAAACAAACAACACCTAAGTGTTTTTGTTTTTTTAAACCACACCTTTTAGATGCAGAAAAAACAACCACAAAATATTAAAAACTGCTACGAAAGGTTAATTGCAGAAAAACATATCCGAACATTAAAAACTTAATAATACGACATCGATCCCAAATTGCTCTAAAAGTAAAGCACAAAATATGTTATAATCTAATTTCAAACAAATTAGATATGCATCTTTTAAAATTCTCAGCTTTGATATCCTAATTTTGAAGGACTATAAGTCAATAAACCAAAAATGAAAAAATTATAATCTAAAATATTGTACAAACTATAAACACTGAAAAATAACAGATGTCAATCCGACTTCAAATGAATGAAATACGTACGTTTTAAACTTTTCGCAAAAACCCTTAAAACCAATTCCAAACACCGATTCCATTTCTTAAACCTGGTTTACCTAGACTCGAAGGATCTGAAACCCTGATTACCCGGAACCTAGATAAAAAATCATTCTTTAAACCTGAAACTCAAACCAGTTCTTCATATTCTGGTTCTAATGGTTTTGATTTTTCAAT